AAAATTTGATGAATTTCGTTATTTTACTAGTTGGTAATGGTAACATCCAGGAAACAGATAATGTTACAAATTGACTTTTAGAACAAAAGTTGTAGCAAATTTTATTCTTAACAATATTGCTCTCTTACACTTTTGCTCTCAGATGCGTCAATATCGAAAAACATATAAAAATTTGATGAATTTCGTTATATCACTAGTTGGTAATGGTAACAACATCCAGGAAACAGATAATGTTACAAAGGAACTTTTAGAACAAAAGTTGTAGCAAATTTTGTTCTTAACAATATTGCTCTCTTACACTTTTGTTATCAGATGCGTCAATATCGAGAAAAATATGAAAATATAAAAATTTCATGAATTTCATGAATTTCGTTATTTTACTAGTTAGTAATGGTAACATCCAGGAAACAGATAATGTTACAAAGGGGCTTTTAGAACAAAAGTTGTAGCAAATTTTATTGTTAACAATATTGCTCTCTTGCACATTTGTTATCAGATGCGTCAATATCGAGAAAAATATGAAAATATAAAAATATGATAAATTTCGTTATTTTACTGGTTGGTATGGTAACATCCAGGAAACAGATAATGTTACAAAGGGACTTTTAGAACAAAAGTTGTAGAAAATTTTATTCTTAACAATATTGCTCTCTTGCACTTTTGCTCTCAGATGCGTCAATATCGAGAAAAATATGAAAATATAAAAAGTTGATGAATTTCGTTATTTTACTAATTGGTTATGGTAACATCCAGGAAACAGAGAATGTTACAAAAAAACTTTTAGAACAATTTTATTCTTAACATAGAGCAATTTAGCCGCACGTCTCTCTAGACACTTAAACTCTAGGTGTAGTGTTAGTTCTAGTTTTAGTTCAAGAAAAATATGGAACATAGCGATATTTTATCTAGTTATATTATTAGTCTAGTTTTATTTGCTATTAAGTGCTAGATTATTGTATATGTTTATTGGGCTATAAACACTTTGTTCCTCATATTAATATGATATCGAGGTTTTAGTATAACATCAAATTATATTGATATGTTGCATTTTATGTGGGATAAAGTTGGTTTTTATCATGTTTAAACAAATAAGTAATTCAATTCGTAACTACAGTTTACTTAAAATCCTCTCTGGTTATAAAACTCCCAAAAGCGTACACTATGTAAACGTGACTTTTCATTTTACTCCTCCGAATTAAAAAATATAGTATAAATACACTTATTATTACTCAAACCTTTATTTCGCGATTTTCATATACCTCAAAAATGATACATGAACCGTATTGAGGGATATGATCATAAGATAGATTTAAAATTCCCAACATCCCTGCAATATTTACGTCATGTCCGCTATAAATATGTAGGATTTTCTCGTTTCCCTTCGTAATTTTTTCGTTTGTATCGTTAATTATCTTCTCCAACATTCTACCGGATAAATAATTTTGCAATTCCACAGTTTCAACCATCGTTTCCGAGTAATGTTTTGAAACTAAATAATTGAAATCGTCCCAATTTATTTCCCTCGTCCAGTTTGGTTGGGATATTCCTAAATATTTCTTTTTTTTTTATTAAAATATTTTATTATGTTCTGAAAAAAAGCTTACTTGTGTTGTTAAAAGATCATGGACTCTATATAACCCATAAGTTGAGTTTGTTTCAATTCCTGTGTGTGTTTTTAAAAAATTCAAAAATTTTTCGTGTTTTTTTAAAAGGTTATTGATTTTGATTGAGTTTTTTGTGTTTTTTAATAACTCATTTCTATAAATACTTGTAATTGATGATAAAAACATATTATCTCGATGGATTTCTATGAAATTTAATCTTTTCTCTTCTATGTTATCATCGTGAATTAGTTCTTTTAATATTAAGATTAAAGAATTTCTAGTTCTTTGTACGTTTGAACTCCACGGGTCAATATTTTCTAGTTTTATCGATTCGGTTAATAAATGTTTGTATCTCTCTTTTAAATTTCTACCTAATTTAATCATTTTTTTTTTACCATCCTAAAAGAAATAACAACTTTTAGAGAAAAGTAAAGCAATGAAATGATTTACATCTGTTAACTGTCCTAGTCCATAAGGTTGATAATCATCGGGATTAACCGGGATTTGCTTTGGAAAATAAAGTCCAGCATCGGGAGTTCTATTTCCATGTCTAAATATCTTTAAAAAAAATATTTCGAAATCTTTTTATAACAAATTTTTTTACTTACCACGTGAAGCAACACTAAAGATCCTTTTTTATCGGACATTTCTAAATCGATCCTCAAACAAACATCCACTGACCTTCAACTAATGTAACAGATATTTTTTGGTGTCGAATTTTTTTTCGTTGCGCAACCAAGATTAAGTTTATTTGGTGGTCTAACTTAATTTTTTTTATTAATAAGAACTCCAAGAGGAATAAAAAATGAACCAGAAGAAGGCGTTATTCATTATTTTTTGAAATCTCCGAGTCCCACACAAATGCTTGACCAAAGTGTCAGCTTTGGGAGATTAATAGAGAGACGGTACTCGACCCTTTCCACTAGAAACTCCCGTTCGTAATCTATCAAAATCACAATCAGAGTTGGGGAAATATTACTCTCGCATTAGAGACCTCGGATAAGAGGGTCATCCTTTTTTTTGCCAACCTTTTTCTTGGTTTATCATAAAAACTCGTAATACACTTTGTTCAAAATTTTAATTCATTCAATATGAGAAATTTTTCCAAAAATAGGCAAAATAGATATTGGTCTAAAGTTAGAATGTTCATTTTGAAGGCTTTTTTTGTGTATAAGAACAACTTTAGCTATTTTCAGACAGTTAGGGAGTCTGAAATGAACGTATCCCCCCGCAAAGGCCAAAAATATATTGCCATAGAAACCAGAGTATATCTACTTACTTTGTCTATGTCAATATAATTCGATATTACAGTAAAACCTCGATATAACGGATCAATACGAGGAACGCACTATCCGTTATTGCTTAATAAAAATATACAACAATTCAGCGCTGAACAACAAATAAAACTAGACTAACACTAGAACTAGAAACATTCCGTTTAGCCCTACCCCTCTTAAGCATCCGAATATTTCTAGTTCTAGATCTAGTGTTAGTTCTAGTTTTACACTAGCACTGTTACTAGAATTAACACAAGACCAAGAACTAGAATCATTCGGGTTTAGCCGTCTTAAGAGCCATACGGCTAAACCCAAATGTTTCTAGTTCTAGTCTAATATTAGTTCTGGTGACATTGCAAGTGTAAAACTAGAACCAACACTAGATCTAAAACTAGAATCATTCGGGTTTAGCCGTCTTTAGAGAAGTGCAGCTAAACCCAAATGATTCTAGTTCTAAGTATAGTGTTAGTTTTACATAGTAATAGTGCTAGTGTAAAACTAGAACTAACACTAGACCTAGAACCTAGTTACTAGGTCTAGTGTTAGATTTGGCCGAGAATGTTACAAAAAAACTTTTAGAACAAAAGTTGTAGAAAATTTTATTCTTAACAATATTGCTCTCTTGTAATTTTGCTCTCAGATGCGTCAATATCGAGAAAAATATAAAAATATAAAAATTTGATGAATTTCGTTATTTTACTAGTTGGTAATGGTAACATCCAGGAAACAGATAATGTTACAAAGGGACTTTTAGAACAAAAGTTGTAGCAAATGTTATTCCCAACAATATTGCTCTCTTATACTTTTGCTCTCAGATCAGTCAATATCGAGAAAAATATGAAAATATAAAAATTTGATAAATTTCGTTAATTTTACAAGTTGGTATGGTAATATCCAGGAAATAGATAATGTTACAAAGGGACTTTTAGAACAAAAGTTGTAGAAAATTTTATTCTTAACAATATTGCTCTCTTACACTTTTGCTCTTAGATGCGTCAATATCGAGAAAAATATGAAAATATAAAAATATGATAAATTTCGTTATTTTACTGGTTGGTATGGTAACATCCAGGAAACAGATAA